GCCTCCAGAGAGTTTTTGGCAGCTACTCTGTCCTTCTGGGCCTCATCCTCAGCCTTGTACTGCTCAGCCTCACGCACCATCCTCTCCACCTCTTCCTTGCTCAGCCGGCCCTTGTCATTGGTGATGGTGATCTTGTTGGCCTTGCCTGTGCTCCTGTCAGTGGCCATCACACTCAGGATGCCATTGGCATCGATGTCAAAGGTCACCTCGATCTTGGGGACTCCACGTGGGGCAGGAGGGATGCCACTGAGCTCAAAGCGCCCCAGCAGATTGTTGTCCCTGGTCATGGCCCTCTCACCTTCATACACCTGGATCAGGACCCCAGATTGGTTGTCTGAGTAGGTGGTGAAAGTCTGGGTCTGCTTGGTAGGGATGGTGGCATTCCTCTGGATCAACGTGGTCATCACTCCACCTGCTGTCTCCAGCCCCAAGGACAAGGGAGCCACATCCAGCAGCAGGAGATCCTGCACTTTCTCACATTTGTCCCCCATCAACACTGCTGCCTGCACAGCAGCTCCATAGGCCACAGCCTCATCCGGGTTGATGCTCTTGTTCAGCTCCCTGCCATTGAAGAAGTCCTGCAGCAGCTTCTGCACCTTGGGAATGCGGGTAGAGCCGCCCACTAGGACAATGTCATGGATGTGGGCCTTGTTCAGTTTGGCATCCTGCAGGGCCTTCTCCACTGGCTCCAAGGTGCTGCGGAAGAGGTCTGAGCACAATTCCTCAAACCGGGCTCGAGTGATGGACGTGTAGAAGTCCATGCCCTCAAACAGGGAATCGATCTCCAGAGTGGCCTGGGTGCTGGAGGACAAGGTGCGCTTGGCGCGCTCACAGGCTGTGCGAAGCCTGCGCAGGGCCCGCTTGTTCCCGCTCAGGTCCTTCCCGTGCTTTCGTCGGAATTCCTCCATAAAGTGGCTCACCAGTCGGTTGTCAAAATCCTCTCCACCCAAGTGAGTGTCTCCAGCTGTGGCCTTCACCTCGAAGACACCTGCGTCGATAGTGAGGACTGACACGTCGAAGGTGCCCCCACCCAGGTCGAAAATGAGCACGTTGCGCTCTCCGGCGCCCCTCTGGTCCAGCCCATAGGCGATGGCGGCCGCTGTGGGCTCGTTGATGATCCTCAGCACGTTGAGCCCCGCGATGGCACCCGCGTCTTTGGTCGCCTGGCGCTGCGAGTCGTTGAAGTAGGCGGGCACCGTGATCACAGCGTGCCTCACCGGCTGGCCCAGGTACGCCTCGGCCGTCTCCTTCATCTTGCTCAGCACCATGGACGAGATCTCCTCGGGGTAGAACGCCTTGTCCTCCCCGCGGTAGGACACGCGCACCTTGGGCTTGCCGCCGTCACTCACCACCTGGAAGGGCCAGTGCTTCATGTCCGCCTGCACAGTCGCGTCCGCAAACTTGCGCCCGATCAGCCGCTTGGCGTCGAACACGGTGTTGTGCGGGTTCAGGGCCGCCTGACTCTTGGCCGCATCTCCGACCAGCCGCTCGGTGTCGGTGAAGGCCACGTAGCTGGGCGTGGTGCGGTTGCCCTGGTCGTTGGCGAGAATCTCCACGCGGCCGTGCTGGAACACGCCCACGCAGGAGTACGTGGTGCCCAAGTCGATGCCTATCGCCACTTCCCTGGGGGTCGACATGGCTGTGGCTTCTCGCGCTCCTGGGGACGAGTCGGATATGGAGTCGGATGCACGAGCCTGCGGCGCCTGGTGCTGCTCAGCCGTCTGGGTGCGCTCAGCCGTGCTGCCCTTCACTTGGCTCCTGTGCCGCCAGCCCAGCTCGGATCTGCTCGGCTCCGCTTCCACGAGCTCTTTATACAGTTGCAGGGGACCCGCCTCCCTCCGCCCTCGCCGCCGCGAACCTTCCGGCGCTTTCGCGAGGAGCCCAGAGCCGCCCGGCCCTGCCCGCGCGGGCTGACGCAGCCAGGGGGCGCCGCGCCGGCTCCGGGAGAAGGTTGGGACTTGGCTATGCCGGGCCCACCCTTCTCTGACGCAGAGCTGCGGAGAAGGTTCCAGCGTCTCCTGGCTGGTTCTAGGGGCGATCGGTTGTGGCAGAAGCCGGGTAAGCAGTAACTTCCCAAGAGAACCAATTCTCGCCCTGGTTGGCGGAAGAAGGCCGGTCTGAGTTCAGCGGCTCAAGAAAAGCTGAAAGTATGTTACCATGCGGATAGAGCCACGGCCTCAAAGCCAGGAATTTAGTTATGTTTTTAAAGTCAACATTTTCTTGTCTCGAGATTTAAAGGCAGTATTTTCGAATTTGTGACAGATGGGTCGCCTGATTCTGGTTGGGGAAACGGAGCTAGAGACAGCGGTAAGGTTAAGAGACACGCTGTAGAGAGGAGTTTCCGCAGCGGCATTGGTGGTTCAGTGGTAGAATTCTCGCCTGCCACGCGGGAGGCCCGGGTTCGATTCCCGGCCAATGCAGATGAACGTTTTCCTCTGACCCGTTACTCTACGTGTGTGTGGTTTTTTTTCTATTATAGCGTTTACAACAATAAATAAACGAAACCACTTAGCTGAAGGCTGGGTTCTTTTGATTAGCTTACTTCTGCTTTACAAAGTGGGTTTCTTGAAGGGAGCAGAGACCTGGCGCCGTGGCACCCTGACTCAGGGATGACCTCGTCCCCACCCACCCTGGAGAGAACTTGGTACTTGGGGAAGGAGGCTGCAGATGAACTGTGGTGAAATATCCCCCTATTGTCGAGACCCGTCCCTGACACTCGTATCCCCGAGAAGCATCGAACCCAGAGGCAGGTCGGAAGGCGCCGTGTGCATTTTTCTCTGAGGCCACTAGTCAGGTGGGGAATAAATTCCTGCACGCCGCAGTCCATCCTATGCCCTGAAAGCCAGAGGGCGAGTGAGTTCACTGATCGGCGAAGCCACCTACCTCCTGTCAGTCTTGTGGCCTTACAAATTGGGTCTTCGCCGTGTCTCACTTTCTTTAATCCAGAACATCTTATTTGAGCTTTCTCGTGTTTCTACTGGGCGTGGACTTCTACTGAGAAGTCAGGAGGAGGAGCCTTTCCAGAGACCGGAAGGTGGAAATGGAGGAAAGAGAAGCAAAAGGTCTCTGTAAGCTCCTGTCTCCCTCCTGACAGGCCGGGCTTCCACTGTGCTAACGAGGACGCGATCTAACGGGAACGTGATACTTTCTAATGGTGAACTTTAGTAGTGTATTTTTTGTAAGATATCGTCATTTGTCTGATTAAAGGGAAACTAATTTTTAAAAAGAGAAACCAAAAACTCATGCTCCATAGTGGCTCTTTTCTCCCCAAATGGCTCAGCATCCATTGGAAAGTTCTCGGGCCTTTGAAGAGGGAGGAGGGGTCAGGATGCAGAGGTCAGGCCCCCCTCTGGACTGGGTATCTTGGTCAACCCTCTCCCAGTGTACCACTGAGAAAGAGCTGGCAAAGTCTTCTACTACAGAGATCAGCTGTACTGGAAGGTGATCAGTCCAGGAAAAAAGGGAATGTTTGAAGAAGAGTGCAATGAATGACTTCCAGAATGGAAAATGAAACCATCCTCAAAAAGGAGGAACCTATTCTCTTTCATAACTCCAGGAACAAGAGAAGCTGCCAGCTTGCAATTCATTCACTCTCACAGTCTAGGCCAGCCAGGCCTGGATGTCAGAGTCCAGACATTTTGTCCAAGGACCTGCAAGAGAAGGGTCCTCCCCTCAGAAGGGAAAAGGTAGTCTGGCTGCGGGTCTGTGCCCTGCTCTGTTCAGGGACTGCCTTGTCCAAGCTCCTCCAACCTTTTCTCCCAGCCCTCAGCAGCCTCAAAACCCCACCTACCCACCCAGCCCCGAGAGTTCCAGGAAAAGCCCTAAAGTAAGCACCTCCGCACCCGCACATTAACCACAGCATCACACAGGCATTCTTCCGATCTCGTTCACTTCTTTACTTTTTAGTTCAGAGAGGTTGGAGTACAGAGGAGCTTATGTATGCAGTGCTAACTTTACAACATGCTTCAATATATCCATTTATGTTTAGGAACTCAGTTTGAGTATCTTTAAAAGTAGAACAGATATTAAAGTGATGACTTCAATAGACATTGTGAAGTGGACGGATGCTCATGACCCAAGACTGAGTACAAAAAGCAAGCTGCAGAACAAGACGTATAGTATCACTCAAAACCATATATATGGTGGTTTGTGACACCAACTACCTGTCTATCCTTGAACAAGTCATTTCAACCATCTGGGCCTCAGCTCACTCAATTTTAAAATGAGGAGATTGGACTATGTCATTTCCAAGGACTTTCTAGGTTTACAGTACTCTGATTTCAAATGCTGAAGAATTTCCTTATTCCACAAATATTTATTGACTGCTTTATCACGTGCCAGACACTGACCCAGACTCAGGAATATGGTAGTGAACAAAATAGACACAGGCCTTGCTCTCCCGTAGCTCACATTCTCATGGGAGGAGGAGATGCACAATAAACAACTACACAAAAGATTGTTTCTTAAATAATTGTTAATTAAACAAAGGGATTAGGGGATGGTGGGAGAGTGGGGTTATATTGAAGGATCAGGGAGCCCTCATGGATAAGGTGACATTTGAGGAAAGATCATAATGAAGTCTGATGTGGATATCTGTAAGAAAGAACCTTCCAGAAACAGGAAATAATATAAGCCCTAGGCAGAAGTAGAATTGGTGTGTTCAAGGAAGCAAGGAAGAGCAGGAGATGAGGTCAGAGAGGCAGTGAGGAGCAAGATCATGTAGCGCCTAGTAGAAGGTTCCAAGGGCTTTAGCTTTCCTCTTAAAGGCAAGGGGGAGCTCTGGCATGGCTTTAAGCAAAGAAGTGAAAGAGACAACACACAGGGGTGGGCGCGGTGTCGCAGCAGTTAACTTCCCACGTTCTGCTTCGACGGCCCGGGGTTTGCCGGTTTGGATCCCGGGTGCGGACAATGGCACCGCTTGGCACACCATGCTGTGGCAGATGTCCCACATATAAAGTAGAGGAAGATGGGCATGGATGTTAGCTTAGGGCCAGGTTTTCTCAGCAAAAAGAGGACTGGTAGTAGTTGGCTCACGGCTAATCTTCCTCAAAAAAATAAAATAAATAACATTTTAAAAAAGAGAAAACACACATTTTTAAAAGATCACTTTGGCCGTTGTGGTGAGAATCGACTGTAGGGTGGCAGGGTGAATGTAAGGAGACCCGTCAGGAAGCTACTGCAGTAACCCAAGTGAGACATGATGGTGGATTGGACCGAGGTGCTGGTAGCACAGTCCTGAGAAGCGCTCAGATTGCTGTATTGATTGAAAGGAGAGGCAGGATTTACTGAGTTTTTCTAGATTTGAGGAGCCTCTGCCTAGAGGCTATGAAAACACATTTGCTGTGAGTCCTTGTCGAGCTAGGTGGGCTGTGACTGTGCCTTGACCTTCAGGAGCTCAGCGACGGTGGGGCTTGTTGGCATTTAGCTCTGAAGATCACAGGTCACAAGGGTGGTTGGAGTCTCCTTGGCCCAGAACTCATTTGTTTTCAGGGCTCTGGCTCCATCTCACTTTGCAGTTCTGCCCATCTCCCACTGATCTTGGAAGGTCTCTCTGCACAGAAACATACAGCCCTGTATCCACTGCAAACAGGAGTCCCATCACCAGGCAGAAAGCGATTTGAAACCAATGTAGAAAGAAGAATACAGTCGCCGGGCCTAATAAGAGAGGCAGAGGGATGAGATGATTGACAGTTGTTAAGGCAGAAATTTGGAATAAACAGTCAGGTCCCCATCGGGGAGCCTTTGTGAAGTCACCCAAGCCAGGGGCTAAGGCCAAGGCCAAGAGCAGACAGGAGCCCAGGAAGTCTCATAGGATCTCTTCATGTCTAGCCTTCCCAAATAAAGCTCTCTGGATCAGCATTTCCCAAAGGGTGACCTTGCATGTGTTCTGAGGGACATTAATAGAAGTTATACAGGTAAAAGGTTTCGTGGTAACCTACGGTTGGTAAATGCCTTATAAAACTTACTTTAAAAGTTTTCTTTATAATAGGACTTCTTGAAGTTTTTAACTTGCATTATGAATATAAATGGTGAGGAACAGAGTACGCAGCATGTTCTGCATTATGGACCACACAATCGTTCATTCTGAAAAGCCTCTTAAGGAGTTTATTTTGGGAAATATTGATCTGGGGAACCCACAGACCACATCAACACATTGTCACTTGCCAACTCCTCTGAGCCCAGGACTGGGTAGCATTCACTGACCAAGACTATAGCTTGTGATGACTCCAGAAGGGCATCATGGATTTCACAACACACAGTTTCTCAGGAGCAGACAGAAGCCTAGTTCTTTGCTTGTGGAGAGAGATCCTCATGCCAACATGGATGCCCAGAGCTTAGATGGGAGCCTAGGCTGGGAGGGTGAGTAGGGAGGCACAAGAAGCCTCAGAATCCTAGAGACAAGAGGGCCATATGGCAAAGTGGAGTGGTTTGAATGAGGTGGGAACAGGGAGGGTGGTTTTGTCTGGTGGATGGATTTTGGGGGATGAAAAGGTGGCTTCTGTCCCCTGAAAGTTAAAACTTCAGGTGAATCACACCTGTTTCTATAATCCCTGAGGAATAACCTGGAACAGAGCTGGACTGCCACACAGCCATCAGGTCCAGCTAGGACTTTTAGGGTTCCTGTTGACATGAAAGAGGCCCACTCAGGAGAAAGCAGGTACTGAAGTTCAGAAAAGAAGATCAGTGATCTTCTCCCTACCCATCCTTCCAGGGCCTGAAGCTCCTAGAACAGACTTGGTTCTCACCTTGGACAGTGATGTTCACAGGCTGTGACAAGTGCAGCATCTGCCCTATAACTCCTGTGCAGTGGTACACGCCACTGTGGCTGAGATTTGCCTGTGGAATGGAGTAGCTGGAATTCACAGGGGAAAACTTCTTGGATTTTCCATTCTGGAAGAATGTGACCTTGTAGAGAGGCTTGCTTCTCCAGCTGTGGCACCTCAGGTGGATGGGCTCCCCCTCTTGGAACACCAGGCGAGGGGTCTGGAGCAGCAACCAGTCTGAAAGACACAATATGGGAAGGAAAAGTTCTAAGGCTGGATACCAAGGCCCTTGGAGCCTCATGTGTGGGGCGACATTACCCACTCACAGAATTTGAAAAGATGTCGAGCAGAGGAACTGAAGATGCTTCATGGCAAGTGTGAGCACTCTCTTACCGGGAAGATATGGTATTATCTGTGGGACCTCTGAAGGATAGACGTTTTCACAAGTTCCAAAGATGCATAGTAGAAACCCGACTCCCTGGCCCAGGGGTGTGGGGTGATTTTGAGGAATTAAGAACACTAAGCAGGATAAGGAAATGAGTGCATTTCAGTAACTGTAGAAGTTGCTGAACAGGATCTGAAACCTTCAGTTTCCGTGGATACAGCATTGGTGGGCTGGGGATTACCAACTTTTGAACTGTTTTGGAAAACGAAGGTGAGCAGCCATTAACCATATTAGCAAGGAAGCAGAGCTTTAATAATGCCTCACCAACCCTGAATGGAATCTTCCATCCACATTAGAATGGAAATGTGTGACCTTGCGAATTCAGTATTCAGTTGTGACTCTGCACAAGAGGAGCATTAAAGAAAGCTTTTTAACTTAAAATCACTTTTCCTCCCTCCTTACAAACAGTCCCACTCCCAACCAAGGCCTCCCTTCACTGAGGGCACAGGAATCAGATTCTGAAATGTGGCTACCTTGGAGGGCTACAGAGAGTGTTTCAATAAACCAAATAGAGAAGAAAATCAAATTGCTCTATTTATTATAAAAAGAAATACTAGAATTTATTACATCTTATTTAAATGAAAACTCATTTAAGAAAACAGTATCCTGTATACGAAAGGCAAGGTACTGTTGTTGAGACAGCGTGAGACAAAAACCTGAAGTCAGGATTCTGATTGTGGCCCTACCGTTTCCCTCTGGGCTCCTAGGGCTCACAGGCTTAATCTCTTTGCACAATGGAGGATGGGACGAGGTGGTTTTCCTCTAATGACCTTTCAAAACCAAGTTTTGCTAAATTTACATTTTTACATTTTTGTAGGAAGACTCAGAAGTACAAGCAGCTGTTTCTGAGGTGGCAATGCACCAAGAGAAGAGTTGGGTGGCTGTGATGTCATTGGTCACATTTGTGAGGTTGAGTCAATATTTGTTTCCCTTTCCATTGAGCACCATCAACAGAAAGTGACTCTACCACCAGCATCTCTGGCACAGGACCTTAAAAGACTACCAGAAAATCACCCTCCTGATGTGAAACAGAATTAAAACACTGAAAGCTCACATGTGACCATCTTCAGGGTTTATGCACCAAGATGCAGCTGAAGTCAACTACAATATAAATGGCTCATATTTCAGACATTGGAAGGGGGGTAATACAGTGTCTAGGAGCATTTCCCTACAGAGTCTATTAAACTGAACACTGTCAGATATTTACATAAGCCTAAGTCAGATCATGAGACTCCTTTAATTAAACCCATCTAATGAATTCTCATCTCCTTCAGGAATATCAGTTCAAGTCATCATACCAGACTACCAGCTGCCACATGCTCGACCCCTTTCCGGCCCCCTCCCCTCTGACCTCATCTTCCAGATTCCGTATCTCCCTCTGGTCTCCCGCAGCTTAGGCAGAACGACCTCCTTACCTGCTAGGCATGATCTCAGCTTAGGACCTTTGCAGTCTGGTTGCCTTCAATTCCGAAGTTTTACCACACAGCCATGAGGGTAGGATGGTTTTATGGAGCAGAAATTTCCTTCTGCTTCTCTCACCTCCGGCTGCTTGTTTATGGCCAAGTAACCTTCCTACTCAACTAGGACTGAGGCCAAACAGCCTAACGTGTTCTGAGGAATCTCTTAGGAACTTCCACCCTGACCACACACACCAAGCTAAGGGGGTTGGTGTAAAGGGAAATGAATGGGCAAGAACTACTTCAAACAACTCACAGCGATGGTTCCCAGTAAACAGGCCACTCCCGTTTCCTAAAAATGTCTGTCACATCAACAGATTTCATCTCTCCTTGTCCTCCCAGACCTTCCTCCACTGACCGGAAATCACATCCAGATGCACAGGGTCACTGAGGCTGGTCTGGCCGGTCTGGCACCTGTAGTCTCCACTGTCGCTGTTTTGGGCCTTAAAGCTGTAGCTGGGCTGGACCTGGGTCGGGATGGGGCTCCCATTATGGAACCACTGAGTGGGGTGGTCTTCAAGGGTATGGGCCCCCTGGCACTTCAGAGTCACAGAATCCTCCCGGAACACGTTGATCCATGGGGGCTCAAGGCTCACCACAGCCTTCGGGAGACCTGCTGAGGGACAGAGAGCAGAAAGGGATGGGAATAAATAACCTTGGAGGGACCATAGATTCCAAAGGAGTTCCCAGGGGAGACCAGGGGCCAGAGAGTCCTACTGCAGACCCAATTAAAGATCTGTGTACTTCTAGCAGCCTCATTCCCTTTAGATCTTTGGTGGATCCAATGGGAATCCGACCAAGAATCAAATCCCAGGTCCCACTAAAATGGGGGAACCACCCCTGCTGAACCCAAGCCTGGTTCTTGGTGGAACAGACATTTCCCTACATGGGAAATAGAGCCTCACATTGTGAGGCAATAACACCATAAACCCAAGGAAGCAAAGAGCAAACTCACCAGCTCCTGTGTGTGCAGAGGCTATAAAAGAGAAGAGAATGGATCAGTGTAGAGCAGGAAAGATGAGGGGAGCGAACATAGCAGGATGGGTGTGGAGAGAGGGAGAGGGAGGTGATGTTGGGCTCCTTCTTCCCAGGACCCATCTCAGAGCCTGTTTCTAGTCACGTTGTTTCCAGTTTCCAGCCTGTTTCCAGTCCTCTTATAAGAGTACTCATTTCTCATGTCCTCCTCACCTCAGCCCTGTCTCTCCACAAGGCTACAAGGGAAACATGAATGTGTGGGGGCAGGGACTGTGAAAGTACCTCTGAATTCCAATCTGAGGAACCAGTGGAATGGTAAGAATTCAGGGTTCTTTTGCCCCCTTTCAATCTGTCCCCCGCTTCCAGGGCCCAGGGCTGCCCCTCATCACACTGACCCCTGGAGCCCTCACAGAAGTGACTGAAACTGCCCTGTTCCACGATGACCCTCACTCACCCAGCAGTAGCAAAACGGTCAGTGGTTGAAGCAGCCACAGGTTACCAGGATGTACATTTGGAAACATCGGGATCTCCATAGTCATCCCAGAACTGGGCCTGAGTCCAGTGGCATTTGGGAGATGAACTTAGAAAAGAGGAAGGAAATTGTTACATTCTCTCATTCAGTTTCATCAGTCACAAGACTCCATTTCTGCTAATCAGTCAGTAACAAATTAGATGAGAAGCTGAGTCAGCTTTACAGACAAATCTTTCTTTCTTGTATCCCCTTGTTTGGTCCTTATGAAAAGCCTGGGCAGGGATGCTTGTGCTGGTGAGGAAACTGATGAGGGTAAACACCAGGAAACAGAGCTGACGATGGAGCCCTTGTCTTGGGTTCTCAGTTCAGCCCCTTCTGACCACACTCCCTGTGCTGCCTCTCTGGCCAGTAGACAGGAAGTTTTAAATGAATTGCAATACAGACAAGATAAAGAGACCCATTAACTCTGCAACCAATAAGAATCATTTGTAAAACCACAACACAATGGAGCAATTTTCTGCAGGAAACATTGGATCCAAGGAAGTCTCTAAGTACCCTGCAGGCAGGACTATTTTTCTTTCACCTGCCCTTCACCCCTGGCCCTTGTAGCACAAAAGAAAGTTTTCAAGTGCAAGAAATAATTTTGGTAAGAAAGCCGTAAAATAATGTCAAATGCTGTATGTTCTGTGCAGGTGATTGTGTCGTATGCCGGGATGAGCAACATGATAAAATGGTCACCCTGCTTAAAACTCAGACTCTGGAGGCAACTATAGCAAAAGTAGGCAAAGGGAACTACATCAACCTTAAAAACTTCTGCATATCAGTCAACAGAGTGAAAAGATAACCCATGGCATGGGAGAAAATATTTGCAAATCATATATCTCATAAGGGGGATAATATCCTGAATATATAACGAACTTCTACAATTCAACAGCAAAAACAAACAGGGGCCGGCCAGGTAGCACAATGATTAAGTTCGAGTGCTCGGCCTTAGCGGCCTGCGGTTTGCAGGTTCGATCTCGGGCGTGGACCTAGGCACCACTCATCAAGCCATGCTTTGGCAGCATCCCACATACAAAATAGAGTAAGATTGGCACAGATGTTAGCTCAGGGGCAATCTTCCTCAAGCAAAAACAGGAAGATTGGCAACAGATGTTAGCTCAGGGCCAATCCTCCTCACAAAAAATCACAACCAAACCAAACAAATAACCTGCTTAAAAATTGGGCAAAGACTTAAATAGACATTTCTCCAAAGAAGATATACAAATAGCCAACAAGCATCTGAAAAGATACTGAACCTCACTGATTGTTAAAGAAACGCAAATCAAAACCACAATGAGGTATCACCTCACACTCATTAGGACTGCTGCCTTGAAAAAACAAAAAACAAAACAAAAAAGAACCCAGAAAATAACAAGTATTAGCGAAGATGTGGAGAAATTGGAACCCTTGTGCACTGCTGTTGGGAATGTAAAATGGTGCATCTGTTATGGAAATCAGTATGGAGGTTTCTGAAATACTTAAAAATAGAATTGCCACATGATTCAGCAATTCCACTTCTGGGTTTACTTATTTATTTATTTTTTATTATTTTGAGGAAGATTAGCCTTGAGCTAACATGTGCTGCGAATCCTCCTCCTTTTGCTGAGGAAGATTGGCCCTGAGCTAACATCTGTGCCCATCTTCCTCTACTTTATATGTGGGACACCTGCCACAGCATGGCTTGTCAAGTGATGCAATGTCCCCATCTGGGATGCAAACCACGAACCCCGGGCCTTCGAAGCAAAACGTGCAAATTTAACCGCTGTTTCACTGGGCGGGCCCCTCACTTCTGGGTTTACATCCAAAAGAATTCAAAGCAAGATCTGAATGAGATATTTGCACATTCATGTTCATTGCAGCTTTATTCACAATCACCACCAGATAGAAGCCACCCACATGTTCATCGACAGATGTATGGGTAAACAAAATATGGTTTATATACACGAGGAATAGAATATTACTCAGCCTTAAAAAAAATTCTGCCACATGCTACAACATGGATGACCCTGAGGACATCATGCTAAGTGAAATAAGCCAGTCACCAAAACATAAATACTGTGTGTGAAGTATCTAAAGTAGTCAAACTGACAGGAACAGAAAACAGAATGGTGGTTGCCAAGCGCTGGGGAGGCGGAAATGGGCAGTTGTTGCTGAATGCTACAAAGTTGTAATTTTCCAAGATAAAAAATTGTAAAGACCTCTTGGACAGCAATGTTAATGGACTTAACAGTCCTGAACTGTGCGCTTAAAAATTGTTAAGACAGCTGGTTCGTTGTTATGTGTTTTTTCTTTTTACCATGGTTTAAAAAATACTTTTTAACTCAGACTATGAGATCTTGGACAAGGTACTTAAATGTCCAAAGCTTCATCTGTAAAATGGACACTAGCTGGTACCTAATAAATGTTCAAGTCAAAATGCATGAGCATTACCAAGGTTTTTAGCATTTGAGTTTTTCTGGAAGGATTGATTCATTATTGTCAAAATCTTTATGGTCGAAATCTCATCAAGGAGACACTGGAAGGGACAAAAGGAAACTTTCGGAAGTGACGGATATGTTTATTACCTTGATTCTGATGACGGTATCATGGGTGTATCCATATGTTCAAACTCATCCAACTGCAGACATTAAATATATGCAGTTTTTGTATAACAATTATATCTCAGTAAAGCTCAAAAAATATATATATAACACAAAAATGGGAAGAAGAAGGTGTTGGAGTAGTTTGCCCCCAGCAGGAGCCAAAGATGCAGGGATTACCTACAACCAGCAATGCAGCCTGCTGGAGAAGAAGGGACCCAGAGCCTGGGGAAGATGGCAGTGCGCTGCTACTTGCCATGGACAAAGGACAGAAAGCGAAAGCAGATTACCCTGTCGTTCACAGCATTTTCTCCCACTGAAAGTTTCTCCCATTGAAATTGTAAGCATGAGGCTCTGGACTGTTTCAGGTGGACGCAGGCATTTCCTTTCACCTACATAATGTAACGCTTCTGCATTCTTTAGGGAGAATCCCATTCCCATTCCCAGGACATCCTTCCCTGGCTTATGTTCTCAAAGGGCAGTTCCTCCTTTGATGTCCTTTCATTAACAAGCTCTCCCCTTTGAGACGACTGGGGCTTTGGCAACCATAGAGAACTGATAATGTCGAGCCATTTCAAGATAGGACCGCTCTTGTTTCTTTATTTATAGGAGAGTCTTCCTCTGTGAGGTTCTGTTTTGGCCCAAGGAGAAAGGGAGTCCACACTTAGGATTCTATTAAGTGACTTTTCAGATTCAATTCAGTTGAAGGGGAAAGACTGGCCCATAAGAGGGATTTACCACTGAAGCATCGCTCAAGAGGTGCTGTGGGATAATGAAAAGGAAACACAAGCAGTGTAAACAGCCTAAATGAGAATAAATGGAAAATTGTGAAACCATGCTACGTTTTACTACACGTACCCTCCTCCACTCCCAGGAGATGGCTGTAAGTATGAAAAGCGGTAAGACAAGTGTGATGGTAATTTATGTGTGGGCAGGCATGACGCAAGCCTTTAAGGGCAGAATAGACCAAAAAGGCAGAGGCAGGGCAAATTCCAGCTCTCTCTGCATGAGCTGACACATCCGTCTTCTGCTCTCAGACATCAGAGCTCCTGGTTCTCGGGCTTTCAGACTCACACGGGGACTTACACCATCAGGCCTAGGATTCTCAGGCCTTTGGACTCTGACTGAACACCACCAGCAGCTTTCCTGGTTCTCCAGCTTGTACACAGCAGATCTTGGGACTTCTCAACCTCTGTCACAGCATGAGCAATTCATATCATAAATCTCCCCTTAAGTGTATCTCGATATATCCTATAGGTTCTGTTTCTCTGAAAAACCCTAATACAGCAAATAAAAGCTGGCAAGTCTCTGCTCATAAGTGAGAAATGAATGATAATTTGGGGTCACCCAAATAACAATGTCCTCGGAGCATGCTGGGTTGGAGGCCTTGAGAAACAAGGGAAAATCTAAACTGGAAGTGATACGGTTTCACCTTCTCGGAAGATCAGAAAAGTTCTTTTTTAATATTCAAGTAGATAGAAAACTCTAGCTACAGACTTCCCAGCAAAAAGGAGTCCCAGAGAACCAAGACTTACTACCCAAGAGGGATTTGATATTAGGGAGTCTGGGCATATGAAACACGCTAAGACTTTGGAGCAATCAGTAGTAGTGAATGAGGTGTGTTTCTTCCCAAACCTCAGCTCCAGTGTGTTTCATGCCCCTAACTCTGCTTTTGCCCCGATACGCTAATATTTTACCTGTCCCACTTCGCTCAGCATCTGACCATGGACGTGCTCCCCGGTTTGGGCTTGTTCCTACCCACACTGTGCTGAGAGAGTAACATGGTCTCACCCCACTGTGCAGTAGAGACAGGAAAGAAATTGGAATTCAGACTACAACAATGGAAGAACAGGGAGCTTTTGAGGAGGAAATCTAAAAAGGAAATGATAACCTTACCCTCAGAACACATTAAAACTTTAAGTGGCACCTCAAACGCCAATAGATGGATATTTGTCCCTTCGAGAGAGAATTAGGGAAAGGTGCAAATGCACACACACAGGCAGGAGCCCATGAATTTGAGAGTACAATGACACCGAGTATAATGACTCCTCGAATATACTAGGAGAGCCTGAGGTTGCTTGCTTGCTTGTTTTGTGGTTTGGTTTGGTTTTGTGTGTGTGGGTGTGTGGTATATTTCTCCTAGGAAATGAAGTCGATGGAATTGATAAAGAAGCCGTGAAGATTAGTTGTATTTGCAGCCTTCAGAGACAGGCTTTATAGAAGAACAGCTCTTGAGAAGAATGCATAGAAAAGAAAAGAATTTGCTATGAAGTCTCAGGTAGACTTTTGAAGGTAGATGTGTGTTGAACCTAATGTTTAAATGTGAGATGGGCAGAGGAAGATTCATTTCTTCCAGAAGATCCAGGGCCTTCATGTCCACCTGTTTCCTGGTAACCTCTTCTGCTCTCTCAGATTAAATTTTACAGAACTGTGTCTATCCCAGGCTTGGGTTTTTAACAAGGCCTTCTGTAAGATTTCCTGGCCACC